ATCTTTTACTTCCAAGTGGGGAAAGGTCCAGTGAGCTGCTCTTCACCCTAGGCCCTAGTTAGAACGAGCTGGACGGCACATCCCACTGAAGCAAAGACGAGTCGACTATCGTGGAGTTGGGCACATTGTCAAAGCACAGTCTGCTGGGAGCATCCGCGGGGTTGCTCTTTGAGGGCACCCTTGAGTACCAGCACCTGAGTTGCAAATCGTCTTCTGCCAACCTGATGGCATTGACAATCCTCTCACCAACTGAAGTCGCAGCACAAGATTTGATGAGAGCTGCCTTGGCAGCCTCATTGTCAACATAACATACAAGCTGGCCGCTTTTGAAGACACTTCCCCAAGCCCTCATGGCAAGGAGGACTGGCAGAAGCTCAAGCTCGTAAATGGGATTACTCGAATAGGATAGAACCTGTCGCATGAAGGAGTTGGGGACCTTGGAACCGAACGAACCCAAAGCATTGCCATTTGGGCCGAAGTACACAGCTCCCACACTACCAACTCCATTTTCGAAGGCTCCATCGGTAAACAAGAACCACGAATCACAAGACTTGAGATTGATTTCAAGTGGAATGGCGGACACTAATCGCTCTTTCAAGACTTTGATGGCCCTGGCAGCCTCTTGAGTCAAGGAAGTACGAAGCAACCCGGCGCGAGCCTGTCGGTCCAGGAGTTTGACAGCTTGAGCAGGGCCACGACCGAAAGCATAGCCTTCAAAAAAGTTCATGCGGCCACGGAGTCTCTCAGCCTCCTTGGGGCACAACAAGTTTGCAGCAGCTACGGTGTCAAGCGACTCAACAAGCTCCTGGATACGCTTCGTGGTGTGTCCGATCTTAATAACTTTATCCTTGAAGCCGGTCATGTCAACGACCAGGCCCAACATGTTGAATGTTGGCGAAAACTCAGGTGCCTTTTTTCCTTCGGTCGCATAAGTTAGGCCCAGCAATCCAAACAACGACTGAACGGCAAAGGCCACATTCTTCTGAAGGGAGGTCTTGGTAACCACGCTGTAATCGTCAAAGAATGCGGTCCATATTACCTTTAAGGCAACCACACCCAACATCCAAACCGAAATACTAACCCTGAGAAAGGCAGCAACGGAGCCTATGGCTCCGAACGGTAGCGCATTGAGGCCCACAGCTGTGGGCTCAGCAACACCCGGTTGATTTACATACATCCTCAAGAACTCTCTGTCCTGGCAAGCCACGGGGAATTGTTTATAGGCGGCCTTCAGGTCATATGTTCTGCCGCACAAAGACATGCAGTGATCCTTCGAAAGACCGAGTGCATATGCCAACATGGAGGCCATCCGATCGATGGTACCGTAATCCTCTAGGTTAATACCTAGATCCGCTACGGCCTGCTGGATCTGAGTTTGCATACCCAAAAATCCCTGGAGTATGAAATTCGGGTTCTTTGAGAGCTGCGTGGAGAGCTCATCCCCCATCTCAACGGGATAGATAGGGTAGGGAAAGGAGCGAATTGCATCTTCCCTGCTAAGGTTGGAGATATCATTGGTGTGCGAAAAGTGATAGCGTAAGGCTGTGGTAGCGTGGCGACTAGCCGAAGCGTACGC